TAAAATAAATCTAGTTATATGTTTTTTATTATATAGATAATCTAGTCATCTAATATATACCTCTTTCATTTCATCGCATCAAATCAGATTTTTCATCTAATTTTCTTATAAGATAGATACTAAATCAATTTAGAGTAACGAGACGTCATTTGATTTATCTTAATCTGGAACGCTACCAGTTTGATAAAACGCTCTCTAAAATCTTGAAATTAAATTCATCCAATCTGTTTCACCGAAAATGATGTTGAGTAATTTACGTCACCCGAAAATAGGCATCTTCATAATGTTGAAATGAAAAATACTTAGCGTGTCATAGACAGAAGCTATTCATGTAAAATATAAATATGACTAGTTATATTTCTTTGACTTAGATTTTTTTTTCTGGCATAAGCCGGTAAACGAGCAGACGGATCAACTGATAGTAAGCAATCAGCGTCGCCCATGGACACCTTGAACACCAGAAGCGTTACAAGTGCGTTACCGGCTTTTTGGGAATTAGGAGTTTGAGGATCGTTGGGGATTCAGGGATTGGGAAGATTGGGGAAGGGGTTACCCTCCCCTTCCCCAATCTTCTATTGGGCCTATGTAGCTTAATTTTCTTTGCACTGATGCACTTTTTTCTGTTCGTACGCGGTATGTGTCTTACAAATCTACAAAACTTTAAATTTGTTTTTATGGTGAAATCATTGTATTTCAAAAGGTATTCTTATTAAATTCTAGTTAAGAGTATCCTATGGTGGATATTTTTATGACTCCTAGGAACAAAATACCAAGATGTGGAATTTGAGGCAACACATAACATAACATAACATCACGGCTTTATATCCCCGAAGGGGTAGACAGAGGTGCACATTACGGCACTTAATGCCACTGTACAATGTAACACCCACTTTTCACTATTTATGTCATGAGTCCCATGTAATAGGGGGTGAGCCTATTGTCATATACCGGGCACAATTCCAGACTCCGTGCTACCACTGAGATTTTTGAAAAATCCCAGTAATACTTTGCCCGACCTGGAATTCGAATTTGAGGCAAAACTTTATATAAAAATAATGAACGAGATCTCATGAAGGGTGAGACAGATGAGTTACTTAGGCCAAATAAATAGGAAGTAGTTTTTAAAAACCAAAAGCTATCAAATTACAGTTAAACCAATAATCCTATTATCACACGATACACTGTCAAACTACTTACTGATACAAAAAGATGAAGCAGATCAAATATCAACTACGAACATGATGGGAACTCAGTATGAAGGGGACTTATCAATGTGAGGAAAAGTCAATGAAGCGAACATCATTTGCTGTCATCAAACCCCCAAAAAACGATTAATGATTTAAAAACTTAATCTAAAATAAGAAGTAAAATATACGAAAGTATATTTTGAAAATAAAAAAACTGCCATATTACAAAAAAATCAAAAATAGATTACTAATTTCGAAATGGATAAAGATCTTAAAGTTGTGTTATAATATTTTGTGAACAAACCTAAGGAAAATAAATGTTTTTTATAGGCAAATCTACTGAAAGGTACAATATAGAAACTAGCTGTTACAAGTAGCTTATAGTCAAGCGTCAAGTATCACAAAGTCAACGAGGCATCCTTAATTTGTGGTCTTCGGATCTTTATAGAGGGTTGTAAACTGATCTTAGCATAATGCACGAACCTACGATTAACATTCTACGATATGTTTGTTTAGGCCAAAGAAGGACCGAAGAAAGCCCGCTGCAAGTCAACCTACCCTAATCTTCAAACTTTTTCATTACACCTTCAACTTTATATCAAAAACAATAAAGTTGAAAATCAAGTTTGATAGAAATGAGTAATTTAACCTGCTGGCCACTATGCTACTATAAATCACATATACGAACGTTGGAGTTAAAATTTAAGGATTTATTGTACCTTTTGTTTTTGATAGTTGGTGAACGTATTTCCCTGTTGTTTATGTTGCAGTAAGGATTTATGATATGAATCATAATTTTAGAACAATAGCATCGGTAGTTAGAGGGGCCTTGTGGAACAATAGTGAATTATGGTTGATAGTTTAATTTTAATGCGAGATGGGGTGGATAATTTCTGCTTGTGATATTAATTGTTAGTTCAATTTCTGTTGAATAATTTAAGGTATTGAAAATCAATGTATCCATCTGATCTTTTAAAAAAATGAATCATTCTGCAGTAAGACAATAATCTATTAAATAAACTGTAGATACTTACAGTTCTAAAAAGTTTATGAACAATACACATAAATACTGTTTACCAGAACCATGAAATACCATAACCTTTTTTTATCATCAAACATAAGTATTTCTGACAAGTAATTATAATTCACATTTACTAACCGAGATACAAATAGTACTTTCATTCAAATAAATAATAAGTTCAAAACATCCTCAATTAAGTTCTCAGTAAACTCATTAAAAGGCTTCTCTTGTATAACAGACATCAGAATATCCCCAGGAATCATATTGGCCGTAAGTAGCCTTTCCCGAAATTCATTCGAGATCGGTTTTTATTCGCCGCAGATCGTATCAATTTCGCAGGAAAAAAGTTGCTAACTAATTTCAAAGCGAATAACGAAAAGAAAGGTTGGTAATGGCTGACCTCTTTAGAGTTTTTGAGAGCTCAATTTCAATATCGTCAATGTTTACTGTCAAAAACATGAATATTTAAAGTGGAAACGAAAAGCAATATCGTGCTAACAATTTTATATTAATAATATCCATAGTTCGAGCTACATTTTAATATCACTTTATCACAAAATAACTAGTATTTCTTCCTTCATAAAATTTCACATTTTTCATTATGTTGACGCGATATTTTTTCGTTATGTTTTATAATTATTTCCGTAGTGTATTCAGGAGAGTTATTACTATTTTTCAATTTATGATGATTCTGTCTACAGCTTTCATGATTGCAATGTTCAACAGAATGAAAATAACTGCCAATTTTCTTTTAAATTGTAGGTATTATATGAATGACGTTTAATAACATTCTTAATTTAAATTTTATTAAACATCGAATGCCAATGTTATGTTTTATAAATGTTTGATTTCAGTACATTTTAATCAATAATCATATATTATATTTAAAATCATAATTATTTTTAAAGAAGTAGTAAACTTTACTGTAGAATTGACGCTTGAAACAAAACTTCTGGTCATTAAATACATTTATTTATAATATAAATGCCGATACAACTGATTTGATATGAACTTGACTGCCTCGTTGGCCGAGTGGTCGCAAGTGCGACTGCCGAGCAAAGGATCTCGGGTTCGTTTCCCGGGTAGGGCAAAGTATTACTGGGTTTTTAAAAAATTCTCAGTAGTAGCACGGAGTCTGGAATTGTGCCCGGTATATGGCAATAGGCTCACCCCCTATTACATGGGACTCGTAACATAAATAGTGAAAAGTGGGTGTTACATTGTACAGTGGCATAATGTGCACCTCTGCCTACCCCTACGGGATAAAAGGCGTGATGTTATGTCATGTTATTCCGATACAATGATTTAAATCACGTCACTATACCGACAATTTACACAGTAGGTATAATTACATTCTTGAAGTAGATATAATTTCATCCTAAGTACTTAACTATAATAGTTGTACAGATAAATAAAATTGGAGTGTGTGTTTGTAATATTAAACCGCTTTTTATTGCATACAATGCACATACCAAAATAAATTTTTTACAACTTTTGTTTGTCTGTTTGTACCGGCTAATCTCTGGAATGGCGGGATAGATTTTGCGAGACTTATATTGGTAGGTAGCTGATGTACTACAGAGTAACATAGGCTACGTATATTTTGGCAAATTGAAACAATAATAAGTTATGTTCTAAAATAAAATAGATAACTATAAGCCACAGACATTTTCCATTCAAAATAAACAGTTTTATCATAAAAAAAAGTTAACATTCAAAGCATTTATTTCAATTAAACCATAATTTGATACTTTTGAAACGTCAACAAATACGAAATAAATAATAGTCAGTCAGTCCGTGAATGAAACTAGGTGAAGCTAGTCAGTCCGTCAGTGAAGCTAGGTAAACAAAATATATAACTATTAATACTTCTAAATAGAAGCATTAAATATATATCCCTACAAAATAATTTACTGCCATAAGTTTTTTCGAATTTAAAAATAATTTTATAGTTAGGCTTGAAAATGCTCTTGTGTTCTTAACCTGCCAAATGCTATCGTTAAACTTCCAAATTCACTCATTATTTGCAGAAAAAGAATCATTTAAGCCTGATGACTTTTAAATGACTTTTTACAAAACTGAACTGAACGAGGCCATAAAAATCACTCCACGAAACATAAATTTAATAAAGTCTTTAGGAACTAAGTAATTAATGTGTATTTTGTCTAATTTCGTTTTAGGCCAATGTTTTATTTTATAAACATTTGAGTGTTGATAGACAACCCCTCTACATATAAAACGAAAAAAGGTCTTATTGAGGTTTCTATTCTAACTAATCTGTGAACAATAACTTAAACTTTCAATGTCCCTATTAAACAATTAAAACTTAAAATATAAAGGGATAGAGTTTAATTTCGATGAAACAAATAGCCAATAAATGAGTCATAAGAGACAGATTAAATGAAAATTCCTGTTAAATAACTTTCCAATAATAGACGAAATAAACCTGAACCTCTCATGTAATAGCCAACGAAATTTAATTTACCATGCTTTGGACGACCATCGAATCCACATAACTCTGAAAACATGTACGGTCCAACGAATATTCAGAAGGCGCAACATTTTATCGAATTAACTGCCACCCGCTTTACATTCTCTCACCCGATAAATTTAAAAAAGTAAATTAAATTTTGAGACACATACACTTTAAACGAACACATTATTCGAACAGCAAAAACTTTACAAAATAAAATAATACGGTTAAAACTTTGTAACGGTTGAAACCAACGAACCGCATCGAATTACCCCGCAACCCCTTTTTGTACAGTTTGACCCTGAGTACGAAAACTTACCGTTGAAACAGGTGACCAACCACAGCAGGGTAGTGCAGGCATGCATGATGGTCACTCGCTTAACACCTCGACAACGCACCATCGCACTTTTATCAAATCACCATCCCACAGAACCAATTTATAAACCACCCTCAGAGGGACACTATTATCTACGATCAGAATTTCAGCCCCGAGCTGTACGTGTGACGTAACAGAAAGTTCGTGACGTCTCTGTTCTCGGACGAGGCGGCCACTCTAGTCGGAGCGTCCCGTTCGACTGAACTGAACTCGCCGTTAAAGGCTCCGAGGGTGAGGGGAGGGACGATATCAAATGTTTTGTATCCTCACAGCTATTTCCCTCCAAGAGCGGGAACCACGTGCCGTGTTTAGTCAATTTTTATATGAATGGCCTGACGACTATTTGTACTTTTATTGTTGTCATTAAATGTAACATAATTAGTGTTGCCCGAACTTTGTTGATTGGCTCTTACTGTTCAAACGAGTTTAATTGAACAGTTTCGTTCTTGTTAATTAAAATTTGCTGATGGATTTTTTGTGAAACATTCGTTGTTTTTGTAATAAATTGTGATTTTAGGGGGATTAAAGCGATGATAAAGAATGGTTTTATACATAAAGGATGAATGTTCCCATACAATGTGTTATAGTGTTGACTTTATTAAAGTACAATAAGGAAAGTAAGACACGTCTTCGATTTTATAACGATAACGTCCGAAATACGAAACTCGTATTAAAGTCGAGGAAGATGGGCGAAGTTTCGTCGGTTTTGTGTTAGGCCGTCTTGATACAAGGAGTTTTAACTTCAAGTCGGCCGGGGACTTATACACGACTTTGGAGGTTGATACTCGATTTGGGAACTTTATGAAGTAGGAAAAAGTGTGAAAGTATTTGTTTTGAAGTGACATGGATGATTCTTCGTTTTGGGAATTGTTTTACACAGAATTATTTTGTTTGTTTCCTTTTTTCCTTATATGTTATTTTCACTAAAGCGTAATTTATTTATGATTTAATGAGTAATTGTATGTTGTCTGTATCCTTATTAAATGTTATATTTCACTTCATATTAAGACTTTCTACAAGTTGATAACATAACCTATCCTATATAGTACTTATCATAATAAAAAAAATCTAGTCTTTTGTTTTTCCAACCTACATTAACTAAACGGTCACTTTCGAATCAATCGAAAAGTAATTAAGAACGAAGAACTAAAGTACTGAAAGTCGTAAATTCTATGTCATTGACACTAAGTATCCTACTTTGTGGAGGATGAACTATAATTAGGTAACATTAGTGTTTTTTTTTTAAATAATTATATTTCTAAAATACTAAGTGTTTAGACTTGGTAATTTATCAATATGACAACTAAGAATCAGATAAGTAGTAGGCATAATAGACATGAAGTCAACAAAAACCCACGTTTGAAATATTAAGGACAGTCAGTCTGATCTAGACTTAGTCTTTGAATGAATGTTTTCTAGCTAGATTTCAAATTGTGAATATGAATCGAGTCTTCTTTCTTCTGGTATTAACCAAACTTGTTATTAAACTGAGTCGGTCATGCAGCAAAATATTTCAAATGCAAGGACGTTGTAATTTCCAACGTCCTCCGGCAGAAGTATGTATTCATGAAGCACCACCTCATTTTCAATAAAGTCTTTCTATTTAGTTGCTCGACATCGCCAGAATTACCGGGAGCCAGTGGATGCAGGTGGCGAGTTGTCATTTGACGTGGAGGACTAAGGAGGGAGGCTTTTGTCCAGCAGTGAACGTCTTCTGGCTTTTGATGATGATGATGATGATGATAATTTAGTTACAAGATCTGAAACTTTTATTTGTACCAGCATGTTAACTAATCGAGACTTTAAAATATATCACACAATATAACCCTATATATAAGAAAATAAAACATAAATTCCATTTTGTAGAGCACGGGTAAATAAATTGACATTTCCCTCTATTTCTAGTTCTAAATTAAAGTAAAAATATTTCCAATTCCCACCTTACTCGTAGGTGGCGGTGCAATTTTCGATCCCGACGTGAGACGAAGGCTATACCTAGGTAAATGTGCACGTTATGCAGTCATAGTAAGTAACCAATGCAAATTCATATTTTGGTTGAAATATATGCATACCTGTTTTAGAGGAAAAGATGAGCATAAATTTTAATTTTAGGAAGGAGAAGTACACTGAGCGACGGTTTCTTAAAATTCCTGCATAAAGAATCATCACCATCATCAATAGGCAATATCCTATAAGTAGCCAATGTTGACCAAAGGGGAATGGGCTGGCTCGACCGGAATGACACCACTGCCTCACAGAAGACTGACGTGAAAATCTGCCCCAATCCCTGGATCCTCAACAATCCTCAATTTCCTAATCCCAAAAGGCCGGTAACGCACTTGTTCTCTCCTCACTCTGGTGTTCCAGGTGTCCATAGGCGACGCTGATTGCTTACCATTAGGTGATCCGTCGGCTCGTTTACCGGCTTCTTGCAAGGAAAAGGCATAAAAAATACGAATGCATGAATATGAAATTACGAAAACGTAAACACAAATATTGACTTTATTGTTTACGACCAAAACTTTAAATAATGTTTAGTATTAATTCCATACCTTTACCCACAATTTTTGGGTACAAGTACGTACATATATAGTAGATAGGCGAACAGATAAATACGACATATTATATATATATTTGTTACACTGATATGATATTCATATTTATCTTTTTGCAAAATTGATAATTTGTGGCTAGCAACATGTCAAATGTTGTTGAACAAGGTATCACTAAATTAATTACTCTATAGAAATAAATAATTTCAACATGACAAGCCGACTGGTTAGTTAACAATATCAACCATTAATTAAATTCAAAACTAATTTCAGATTAAATTATTTTAATAATAATGTGGTTAGAGAATTAAATTAATTTAATTTTAGTATGAGGACATAGCGCAGCGATATCATACCTATTTGAATAAATTAATAATTAAATATTTCTCTTTCTTAGTCGTTCGCTTCATTACGTCATCACTCCTCGTACTGGTGCATGCCCAATCCTCCTCCAAGCGCCCCTATCCTCTGCGGTCTTTATGACATGTGGAATGAGCATGTAGCCAATGAGAAGGTGAACGACCACGAGGTCTATTCTCTTTAACCAACAACCACAACCTTCTCCAGATTTTGATTTGATTTTGAACGGTAACGCACTTGTAATGCCTCCGGTGTTCCAGGTGCCCATGGGCGAAGCCGATTGCTTACCATCAGGTAATCCGTCTGCTCGTTTACGGGCTTATGCCAAAAAAAAGTTAAGGTATCTTCACAAGCCCAATGTATTATACAATCCTTGACTTGACGATTTCTTTTGTATTGTCATCAGAGTTGGAACAAAGTCTGAATGGTACTAAAATCTTTACTCTAATAAATATGAGATACGAAGGTTTGTTTTATTTTCCTTTCACATTTTTTTTATGGGACAAGCCCGCCACAACCTCCCAAAACCGCTGCAACTCCTGTAAGCCAGGATCTACAGTAGATACAACCATGAAAACACCGGAACATTGAAGTCCGGCGCGTCCCAGGGACATGAGTAACTGTCTTGGTTCCCGCAACGAAGTGAATCAGAAGATATTATAAGAGGATTTTCTTTCACATGGCAACGGGGTAATATTTTAAAAGATAATTTTTGTGATATGTGCACGTGTAACATAACATAATATCACGAAGGGGCAGATCACATTCCCGAAGGGGTAGGCAGAGGTGCACATTGCACTTAATGCCACTGTACGATGTAATACCCAGTTTTCACTATTTATGTTTTTGAGTCCCATGCAATAGACGGTGAGCCTATTGCTATATACCGGGCACAATTCCGGACTCCGTACTACCACTGAGATTTTATGTGCATGTGCATCACTCTTTCAAAATAAAACTTTGTCCCACATTCGGATTTTCTCCAATGCGTTGACAAATATAGAAGTTCAGATACCATATGCATTTAACAACAATTTGCAGATCACACAAAGAGTTGCATGAGTCTAACCCGCTACATATTGCATGGCAGCCGGTTGCCCAGTCGCCGTGCCAACAATCCAGTCTGTCTTTAGTCCTTAGGCAAATAAAACGTACAACGTTAGTAATCTTATACTATGATATAAAGCGGAAGTTTGTTTTTTTGTTTGTTTGTTTGAACGCGCTAATCTCCGTAACTACAAGTATGATTGGAATAATTCTTTTTGTGTTGGATAGCGCATTTATCGAGAATGGTTATAGGCTATAAAACATCGCGCTACGCCCAATAGGAGCTGAACAGAGCGTGTGAAACCGCGCGGAAGTAGCTAGTGTTACCATATAATTATTTTATCGTAAAAGATAACTGTTATGAACATGTCAGTACATAAATCATGTTACACGACATTTGTGTTATCGACGCAATGTTTTATGAGTTCAACGCTATTTTCGTGATTATATGGATGAACATGTTGTTTTTATTTTATATGTATATTGTGTTTCATTCGAGCGTAGATAAGTTGGTAAGGTGTTTTTCTTTGTCTGTTTGCATTTTGACACATAATGGTGTAAGTATATGATTTTGTATTGTTTCTTTAACATTTATATTTGTTTAGAATACAGATAAACTGATTAATATACAGATATTAATCAGTTTATCAGTAGTTTCTATATCTTTGATATTTAAACTGTCAAAAACCGAGCGGTCACCGGTGACCTCAACCTATTGTTCTTTAATTGTGTCTATAATGACGGTACTCAACGAGTTAAAACTAAGATAATATTTTAATTGGTGTACAAATAACTATAAATTGTATATTGCCAAGTTCTATGATACCCTTCACGTGTGCTGAAAACATAAGAATTTTACTTTTTATCCCCACCACCAAGACACTTTTTGAAAATGTTCAATCAAAAATGGTACTTAAATACCAATAATTATCGGTTAAAACTTTAATAAATCAACAAACAAGGTAAAGGTACACAATACAACGCACACTACATGGCCTAACTAGCCGCCACCGACGTTTATGTATTAGAATAAAATATATCGACGGACCCCATTACGTAATGCGTCCATAAAACGTTTCCGCGTAATATCACTGATATATTATCCGAAAAGATATATTTCGAATAGTGTTGTAAAAGTACTGTACTGTTTTCATGGAAATTAAACAAAACGGTCTTTTTGGGGTTTATATTATTAGCAAGCCGTATTGTTATTGCGTGTAATATTAAAA